AAAGAAGCAAGCCATGACGTTTTCGAAACGAAGAAAAGATGGCAGCCACAACATAGTAGTTCTAGTTGTTAAATTACTCTCGAATATCGACCGTTGCCAGCTTTGACTACATCTCTAAATCGCACTTTGCTCATTCAGATTACAAGATTGATTGTTAATATATTCACTACGCATATCTGTGAAGTGGAGTGGTCAGATGCACTCTGCAATAGATGTGTCGCCGTAGGTTTCATTCTTCGCCCAGGCTTACCACAGTTTCCATTCCTCCGAGATTAGTCAAATAGTTATCAAGCTTGTGTGAGAGGATAGAAACATACACTTCATACATCGGTAGACCATGCAAGTCATTCTGTGGTTGCATTCAGTCACCTTTTGCAATATTTAATAAAGTTAAATACATGGTGCATTCCTCAAAGATTGATCAACGTTGAGTGCTTTGTCTTTTAACCTTTATATTCATCATATAAAATACAGCAGATCGTTTTTTAGACATATCTACAGCCGTGTTTTCCGAGAAAAAACAGGCGTGGCTGCTCGTGGAACTTCAGGAAGGCGGTTTGGAGATTGTGGTAACCGTTTAACTCTTTTCAGCTTACGTTATACTTCATGGTCTGAAAAAGGTAATGGTCTTATAGCGTTTGTCAAGATAATTGTAATGGGTGAGGTGAAAGTATAATCAAGCCTAGTTATACCGGTTTTCTGCAACTTCACTTTACGAAGGGAAAGCGAGCGTCTCTACACAAAAGGAAAAAGACGCTAAATCGGCTTGTTAACTTATCGCTCACAGCAGAGGGAATCTCGCAGAGAACCTTCGTGTAGCGGTTGTCGCTGACGATTTTGTGAGTTCGTAAAAAAGCACAAGTCCTGAGTTCAACCATATAAACAGGATTTCGGCTGCATTGTTATGTCTTCAGCGACGGAGGTGTGGAACGCACTGTTTTCCAAACCTCCCAACGATTTACCGCCTCATCGTGGCTGGGAGGTGATCCTGGATGTCGGACTGCGATGTACAACGGTGTAATTCGTCCACCCGACAGGGTCTCCCAAGCTGAGAAGGAGTACGGCGTTTCCGTCAATACCAAGATCCACCACCGTCCTGGTAACAAAGTCGCATGGTGGCAAATCCTCCTCTGATCTACAAGGGCTGCAACTGTTTGTGATGGTGAAGAACTGGGGCAGACTTTGGCCAGGATGACCTCGGGATTCCAAAAGACCACAATGGATTTACCAGCAAATCTCCGAAAAATGGTGATTATTCTGGGCCCGGCACAACCAGTGAGGACTGGCCGTTCGAGTATCAAGTGAGTAATTAAATATTGTTTTCAAAAGGAATCACAAGCTCGTGAAGCAGCAGAGATTCGCAAGTACTGAGTGACAGAGACTGGTCGTGGCCTTCTTATTTGAGGCAGCTAACAACAAAGTTTATGCCTATTCATTGAATTGAGTTATGGTGATGTGGGATACGTCCCCCGCTCTCAAAGTTGTATGCGACTAAATAGAAAAGTAGTTCCAGCTTTCAGTGCGAAGTATCGTCGTGAAACATAGCGGACTGTTCACATCGAAACGGATTTTCGCCGCTCATGTTTTCCTTGTCGAATCAAGCTCGTGGGTTAATGGTTCCTGACAAAAACCCATAGCTGACCGTCTTATGTCTTCCATTTCGGCTTAAAATTGTTGCTGTCTGTGTTGCTCCTACCGACATTTCAACACCATGCGTCTCATATAACGTCTCCTGCAATAAAATATTTCATGACATACTTTAGCATAATATACCTAAAGGCAAGAGACCTGTTCCAACAAAAAAACCTGAGTAAAAGTCGGCATGGAATTGTGTTCAAACAATAGCTTCATTGACTCGTTAACAAATTGTGAGAATAGCAAATCCGAGAGTGTTGCGCAATTTCATGGAACATTCGACAAGAATTATGCTGGATTTGTGCTGTTGATTCTCTGCTGTTTGAAAAAATACGCCTATTTAGATAACTAGATGGTAAATCTCCACAAGTCGTGCGGTTCTCAGCAACCCTTCCAATCGTTCCGTTATCTTGTAAACGTCGTACATGTTGCGGTTGTGACTTAGGAATCAATAGACTTTTTTCTTCACTGACACTTTGAATGTTGTTCGGACGTGGTTCCCTAGATTTCCAAAATCTCCGTAATAGGGCATTCTGAGTCTATAACCACAGGCAATCACTTGTTCTTGCGAATCTAGGATAGTTTTGGTGTTCTGGAAATGCAACTCGTGTAGGACGGCAGTGCTCCCGAGCTTAGTCTAGCCAGAAATCAAGGTTGACGCAACAGTTTCAATTGCTCAAGAATTTTTCAGCGTTCCTTGTTGGCTGATTCCAGTTTTTTTGTCCTACATGTCCTATGCTTGCTTCCGTGTATTATTCCGTGTTAGTGAAACATGTCTAACGCCCTCCATCACACCATAATTTTGTCAAACTTTGGTAGTGAGTTTCATAACACGTTCATTTCTACCCCTTCTACATTATAGCTCTATTAGTCATAGTAATCGCAAGGATCAGAAGAACCTACTAACCGTTAAAAAGATCAGAATATTCAGGGTCTCTGTCTTATGAGGATGAGATTTTGTGGATTTGAGGTACCAGTTATACATTCCATACACTTGGCCCCACGTTATTGCAAACGACGGGCATAAGCGCTGTTCAGCCATCTTCATTTAGAGCATATTGCAAGATATGATAAAAGAGAAAGTCTATACAAGATCAGTCCGCTGATCAAACTTATCAGTGGAAACTGTATGCGAATTTACTAACCTGGCATAAACGTCTCCATCGGTCAGTCTCCAGTGCTTTTTAGGGTGGTGATGGTATTCCAACACGTCCCGTGCATTAGACTAAATTTTGAGTCGAAGATCTAGTTTTATGTTGAACAGAATGTGCCAATGAATAAATCTATGTCCATCCAAATCCGATTCAAATAGACAGAGGGAAAATGTGTCCTAAAATAGTCGTGTCCTGTAAGATAGTGGATCAGCAGTCAAAGAAACAGAAACTTTATGTTGGTTGTTATATCCAATTGTCGAGATGTCAGCAAATGTGTTAGAATACACTTCAAGCACGTGAGAACTATTAGAGGTGTACTCGATGAAAGAAATATTTTTACTCAGGTCTTCTAGTGATTACCACGGAGAGTTAGAGAACTAACCTCGTATGTGAAGATCGAAAAGTGTTAGTGTTACACAATTGTAATAGTTATGACAACGTGGAAATTGTTGCAAGAAATGTACATTAAAGAAGTTAAGAGTAGTAATAATTATAGCGTAAAAACTGTGGATGTAAAAAATGTTGATAGGAAGAGTTAGAGATTCCAAAATACATTTACTTTAATACTTTGACGGCCAGACCTCACTGGCTTTGTGGTCCCCAGCACAGTCTCCATTTTTTTGAGTTTTGCTGGTTTAGCTACTGTGGTTCCCTGGAGTGCCGAGGTCAGCAAGGCCAAGGTCTTCTCCAGGTCGTTACCACTATATGCAGCCGCCCCCCTTATGGATCAGAGGGACGTTTGCCACCATGTGACTAGTTTGGTGCCAGGACGGTGACCGATCTTGATACTGGTTTACTCTTAGCTAGGCTTCCTGATGGAAACGCCGGATTTTTGCCCAGCATGGGAGAGCCTGCCAGGTAGATGAATTCCCCGCTGTACATCGCAGCCAGGTCACGCGTGATAGTGAGGCATTCGTCCTTCCGGTTCATCTTTGGATTTTTGAAATTTATCCAAAATTTTGGCGCCTGGCGCCCTATTTCAAAATGATATTTTGACCCCGGGGCGTGTCTTGCTCGCGTAAACTACGTGTCGGCCAGTCCCGCACATAACATCACGGTGAGTGACCTTTCCGTTCAATATGGCGTCTATTTGAAAGTTTGATCTTCATTAATACTTTAACCTTCTTTTCCACCGAATAATAAAAAGTATTCTAACATAAAGTACGTCCAGGCTCTGAGGAAGGCGAAGTCGCCGAAACGTCAGCCATCGTTCAATAACATCAAAAACAACGACAACGACAACGACAACGAAGATCTGTACCAACCTCGCGTCAGCTTAAGAAGATCAGTTTATAAGATCACATAAATAAATATATCAACTATTTATGCCGAGGTTCATAGAAAGTCGGTCTTTCGAGCTTTTCGCATAATTCCAACCATGGAATAGAGCTATACTTGATCTATATGCGCCACAGCACAGGTGTTGTGAGCACAAATATTGTAGCAAAAATCTTGGGGTGGTAAAATAAACAGGCAAAAATCAATGATTAGACTTGCTCGAAAATGCATGCATCACATTTTCCTGGTTCAGTCCCTAACGTATTTGAACAGAGAGTTCACATCAGCTCTTCCCTTCCATTCGATAGTATGAATTTCTTATTAATTCTTTCTCATCATTTTAAGCCATTACACCTAATTTTTTTACTACGAAACTTCTCCTTGAAAGGTTAAGAAGAAGTATTGGGATAACAACACATAGCCAATAAAGAACTTCCCTTGATATTTTCATTTAACATTCAAGCCATCCTGCCTTTCTTTAGATGAAAGCTTTCCAACTTTACAAATCTCAGCGGCGTGTGTACTTACGATTACAAATCAAATGCACTAGTAAAAATCCCACTAATCGGCATTTGAGTCCCACGGGAAACAGCATCATCTATAAGAAGAAGGTTACAATTGACAGCGACTTTTTCTAAGAACCAAATATTTGATGTGCTATTGAAGGTGATGGCTTCTACATCGTTCTTTAGCGGTCGGTGATTTTTCACTAATACTTTCGTTTCTGATTTCCGTTTCAACATCGTCTCCAAATCAACTAGTAGGAAAACAGAGCGGAGGATTCGTCGCCGAAAACATACCTCTGCCTGATTTACATCGTGGTGAAGACCTGGGTACGCTCTTGCAAGCTTAAGTCACGACTCAAGTGAGGACCAAGTTGCACGACCAGCAATAGGCCGGCCTCAGCACCCCACGCGCTGGGTGCTCCCGTCTATGACGTCTGGCGGTGAGATGACCAGTGAAAGGCCAGAAAATCTCGGGTTACGCAGGACGTCATTGGAACTGGATCTGACGAATACACGCACGACACGCCATAGAGATTCTTTCTTACTGTGCACGTATAATGCCAGAACACTCTCTTCAGACGTCGACCTTCACACCCTTCTTGTAGCCGGAGATCGCATTAAATTTCGTGTGGTCGAACTACAAGAAACAAAAATCAAGAAGGCCGACATACGCCAACTAAAGAATGAGACCCTTGTCATCAGTGGAGAAAAAATCCCGTCACGAAATGTCGGCGGCGCAGGGTTTGTCGGCCAAGCGCCCGTTGTCTATTTCGTCGACTCATACGAGATCCTTTCCATTCGCATAGCCGTCCTTCGTCTTCAACTGTCGCATCATAAGAAGATCACTATCATCAACTGCTACTCACCGACCGACGCAGCTGATGAGTACGAATTAAATGCGCTCTACTATCAGTTGGAGGAAGTCATCTGCAATGATAAAGCATATCATAAATTTGTTGTCGGGGACTTCAACGCCAGAATAGGAAAAGCCAACGAGAGCCAATATGGTGTCGGAAATTTTGGTTTAGGAGAAGGAAATGAGAATGAGAACCGTCTCGCAGAACTCCTGTTCTCAGCACATCTTCCATGGAAACTCGTTTTTCCAGAAGAAAGAAAGCCGCCGCTTGACATGGGAGTCTCCTAACGGCATGACTAATGCGGCGATCGACCACATTCTGACAAGTAGAAGATGATGCCTACGTGAAACATCGGCAGTTCCGTCATTCTGTTCTGGTTCCGATCACCGCCATTTTCGCGCCAAGATTCGATCCAGCCGTGAGCTGGAAAAAAATTCTCTTCATCAACCACGAAGAAAAACTCTTGTTACATGTGACTAAAGCATTCTGAACGAATTCCTTTTTAGACATCTGGTAGATTAAGGAAGATCCGACCAAAGACTTTGTCAAGGTACTGAAAGAGTGGGCCGAATTTACATCAGTTCCCCAAGCAAGAAGATCAGATTACCTTTCCATTACCACTAAGGAATTGCTCGAAAAGACAAGGAATTTAAAGACTATTCCTATTGGAACACGTTATGCATGAAACAATAAATGCCAGCTTCAGAAGAGCTTCACAGAAAACTCTACATCGGTAAAGGCAGAAGAAACTACTGGAATCAGCAGAGAAAAGAAGCCATCTGAAAAAATTTAGTCGGTACTTGGTCGAATGCAACGTTCCGCAGCCAGTCTTGATGAACGAAGATGAGATCTATTTATTTGTATGATCTTATGAACTGATCTTCTTTAGCTAATGCGAGGTTGGTATAGGTCTTCGTTGTCTTTGTCGTTGTTGTTGGTGCTGTTGGTCGATGGCTGACGATTCGGCTATTTCGCCTTCCTCAGAGCCTGGACGTATTTTATATGAGAATAGTTTGAATATTAGACATAAATATATTTTAAAGAATAAACAATAAAGACTAAAGTATTAATGAAGATCAAACTTTTAGACAGACGTCATATTGATCAGAAAGGCTCATCGTGATCTTACAAGTGGACCGGCACATGCGTTGTTCACGTGGGGTCGCGAACGAGGCACACCCAGGAGTCAAAATATCATTTCGAAATAGGGCGCCAGATCACCTGTGATAGCGTGGCACTCGCCTTTCCGGTTATTTTTTGATTTTTTGAAATTTATCTAAAACAATCACGAGTCTCCCTCATATGAGGGATCTCGAGCCGGTTAGTCGCCAGGCTATGTGGCGCTTCCCCAGGAGGCGGATAGAGGGTTAATTGCTGACCAAAAGCGACCCTTGCTTCTCTGAGACGCAGGCGGACCCATGCGATGGACTCCCTGTTTCTGCTCCGCTCATTTGGCAAATACTTTCTGTATTTGCTGGGCGTATTCATGCATGCACGTGTGGGTGCGTTCTTGCATATGCGGATTGTATTCTATGAGTCATTTCGGCCAAAAGCCTGCAATCAAGTAACTGGGAAGTATATGGCAGGCGGTTAGGAGTCGCCACCAACAAATAAGCTCCATGTCCACTCTACGAGAGCCTGGCAAGCTACTCGTGAGTATACCCAGGTCCCACGTTCAGAGCCCATCAAGCTATAAGTGGGTATCAAAAATAGTAAACGCAGTGAAAAAAACGGGTCTCATTTCCCTGACCCCGAAAGAGCCCCAATTTCGCAGCGTTGGGAAAGAGCAGTACGGAGAAGCTGCTGAAATCTCAGAGCCAATGGAAGCTCCCTGGATTTCAAAGAACTATGGTGACGATCTGTACCTACAATGCACGTATACATGCATCCGAGTTCTCGATAGAGGACTTGCTCATGCAACCAAGAAGTATAGGGTACAACGTCATCGGGCTGGCCGAGACGAGACGACGCCACCCATTCAACGCCGTCTATGACAGCGCAGAAGAACTGTTCCTCGGAATATGCGACAGTAGACGAGTCGGTCGCGTTGGAGTTCTCATCAACACGAGTTTTTCCATGAACATCGATTCATTCTAACAACTTAGAACCCGAATCGGACGTTCACTATTAAAAAGACGTGGATCAATTCCGACTTTGACAATCTTCGTCGTTCACGCGCCGACATCAAACTATGACGAAGAAGTCGAAGCGTTCTATATAGACTTGAGGACGTTCTACAGAGAAGACCATACATGCTTCAAGTTCGTCATTGGAGATTTCAGAGCCAAAATTGGACCAAGAGGAACGTCTGAAGAACGTCACATTTGAACCCACGGATTGGAATGAAACGAACAGCGTGAGCGGCTTTCTGAGTTTATCATGGCGACCAAGACAATCCATGGTAACTCGCAATTCCAGAAGCCCCACCCTCAACGCTGGACGTGGGAGTCTCCCAATGGAGAGTACCATAACAAAATAGACGACATTATAGTAAATAGAAGGTTTTGCCTAACCTATGTCGCTGTTGTCCCAAGATTCAACACGGGATCAGACCATCGGCTCCTTCGTGCAAGATTTTCGCGGAAAGGAGAAAACACCTTTTTTTCCTTTTTTTTCCAAAACCGAAGTCCCAAAACCACCGCAAACTAGGACTTATTCAATTTATTAGTCAGCCGTTGAGAAGATACCGTTGTCGATAACATCGACGAAGAACACGATCAGCTCATTCAACATCAACACGTTAGCGCTATGAAAGCTAATAGTTCGAAAGCCACCAAGAGACGTCTGTCTCCAGAAACACTCCAGCTGATACGCCATCGTAGATTCGTACGACCTGCAGGCAACCGCGAACTAACGTCCGAACTTACAAAACAATGCAGACAGGCAATAAAAGAAGATCTTAAAGAGAGATGAGCAGCAGTAGTGGTCGAAGCTGCAAAGGCTGGGAAAAGCATTCGCAAAGCCCACCGAAGCTTCGCCAATTACAAGACCAAAATGGTGGCACTCCGGCTCCCAGATGGAACAGTTACAGCGTCCTGAAAGGCAATGGAGAAAGTCATTCACGAATAGTACTCGAATCTCCTCGATAGCTACGTCCACCTTCCGTTATATGAAACAAAGAATGGATATGTTGTACAACCGGTTCTCCCTTCCGAGATCCCATATGCCATTTCGGCGATGAAAAATCGAACAGCACCAGGTCCGGACAGGATAGGACCGGAACACCTGAAGAACCTTCCGCCAGTCCTCGTAAGCACACTGGCTTGGCTCTTCACACGTTACCTGTCTGAATGCAGGATCCCTACTCAGTGGAAGACCAGCAAGACCATGTTATTATTCAAGAAGGGTGATCTACACGATATCGGCAACTAGCGCCCAATCTGCTTGCTGTCTGTCGTCTACAAACTTTTCACTCGCATAATCCTAAACACGATTGACAGAACACTGGACGAAGGACAGCCATGTGAGCAAGTAGGGTTTCGAAAAGGATTTAGTACGATGGACCACATGAGAGTACAAAAGACCGCTCTGTCCCACTTTCATCGATTTACAGTAGGCCTTTGATTCAATTGAGATAGAAGCAGTCTTGCGAGCCCTTGATAGTCAAGTCCCTACACAGTACATAAAGATTCTTCGTGAGCTGTACAAAAATTTCGCAACCAAGATATCACCATTCTACAACGTTATTAACATTGACGTCAAAAGAGGAGTTAGGCAAGGCGATACCATCTCGTTAAAATTATTTACCTCCACCCTCCAGTACGTCATGCGAACATTCGAGTAGGATAATATGGGAGTGAAAATCGATGGCCGGCAGTTACACCATCTTCGCTTTGCTGATGACATCGTCCTTATAACACCAAACATTAACCAAGCGGAACGTATGCTTGACCACTTTGATAAAGCCTGTGGAAAGATCGGTCTTCGACTAAATCTCACAAAAACGATGTTCATGAACAACGGATTGGTTTCGCATGCCCCATTCACGCTCAACAGAACGAATATCTCTGAATGCTCCAGTTATATCTATCTAGGTCGGAAAATCAATATGATGAACGACCTAGCTCCAGAGCTGAGCAGAAGGAAACGAGCGGCTTGGAGAACTTTCAAAAGCATCGAGGATGTAGTGAAGAGAACAAAGAACACCCAACTCCAAGCCCGCCTTTTCGTTTCAATGGTACTTCCTGCCCTGACGTGTGCGTTAAAAGCCTGGTCGATGCGTAAGCGGGAAGAAAGATCACTCAGTGTTGTCGAACGCGCAGTCACATGGGCGATGCTAGGAGTATTCCGTTCCACACAAGTAAATCATGGGATCCGAAGCTCCGATCTGCGTCAACGATCAAAAATCAAAGATGCCGTTCTGTACGCCAAATAGCCGAAGATAAGGTGTGCCGGACACGTAATGCGTATGAATGACAACAGATGGACAAGAGCCGTTAGTGGCTGGATTCCTCGGGATGTCAAACGTACTACAAGAAGACCACCGACCCGATGGTCAGAGTACTTCACAAAAAGCCTTGAAGAAAAATATGATACTCGACAAGTTCCTAGAGCGAGCAGAGCCCACTGGGCTACTCTTGCACACGACAGGGAAAGATGGAAAATTTACTGGCTCCCGCTCGAGTCACTCGACGATCAACGGGACTACAGGTGATACAGGTGACAGGTGATCCAAAAAAATGCAAGCCATACTCGAGTTGCTCGTAGAGCACGAAAGGAAAATAAAAATGTACTGCTTGTCGATTACGCAACTAATGACTCTCTTAAAACAGTGTTCTAGTTGTTCAATCTTTAGGTGGTCTAGAAAATATTTTGCACAAATTAGAGGGTTGGCCATGGGACAGCTTTTAGCACGAAGTCTTGCCATCGCTTTTATGTCTAAGGTGGGCGCTCCAGTTCTCGATCACCGACCCTTACCTTACTGTCGATACATAGACGACTGCTTCATCGTTTGTTCCACAAAAGAACAGATGGATGAGTGCTTTGAATTGCTAAACCGACAGTCAGAGTATATAAAATTTACAAGAAAAAACCAACCGAGAACTGGCTTCCATTCTTAAACGTCTAAGTGAAGTCCTCAGTAAGTGGCTATATAACAAAATTATATCGTAAGCCAAGTAGTAAAAATATACTAGTTCACAACTTCTCCTCTCATCCTTCACACGTGAAATAAACATCAAAAACATGTACCATACGGCTAAAAATGTGTGCACAGAAGTAGAGAAAAGGAAGGGATCCCTATATTTGACACGAAAAATAGCCATTTCCAAAAACTCGAGGCATTTCGGATAAATTTTAAAAATCCAAAGATGAACCGGAAAGACAATGATTATCTGATCCCGGGGTGTCTTGATCGCGACCCCATGTTAACAACGCGTGGACCAGTCCAACTCGTAACATCACGGTAAGTAGCCTTTCTGTTTAGTATGGCTAATACTTTAGACTTTTATATAATGCTGAGATATTTGCAAAACTCCAGACCGCAGGTGTATGCGGTGGGGAACGAACGCACGCTATTGTCCTTACCGGGGAGTAGCGCACTTCACCACCACACCATCCGGATTCTTCGTTTTGCCTGTCTCTCAGCTAGTTCTATCGAAAAAAAGGCAGTAAATAAAAGAGTTAAGACTTTAGTCTTTTTTCCACCAAATAGTTTAAGTACTCTTATATAAAATACGTCCAGGTTCTGAGAAAGGCGAAATAGACGAAACTTCAGCCATCGCCCAACAACACCAAGAGCAACGACAGCGTCAGTGAAGACATATCAACCTCGCATCAGCTTAAAAAGACCAGTTTATAAGATCATACGAATAAGTATATCAGCTGCCGCACAGAGTAATACATGGTCGACCATGTATTACTCTGTGCGGCGGCTATCCACCAACTAACTTAAATACTTACAACAAATAAACGGCTCTGAAGAAGGCGAAACCGCCGAAACGTCAGCAATTGTGTTCTAATAAATTCTATATTAACAACCTCGTGTCTGCTTATTGATGAAAAACATTGAATTATCAATTAATGCCGAGGTTAACAGAAAGTCGGTCATGGGAAGTATATCAGCTATTTATGCTAAGGTTTATAGAAAGTCGGTTTTTTGAGTTATGAAGATGGGATCGTCAAACGTCATTTCTCCATGATATGGAATTAAAAACAGAAACGTTCTACATCAACCCTTTCCGTACCACAGAACACGTCCCGGACCCTAATATCCCCGCTGGAGAGAAGCCGCTTGGAATTCGTCCGTCGGAGGTTCGATTTGCGAAAGAAGCATGGAAAGAGGCAGAGCTCCAGAACCCGATAATATTACCGCTGACTTCCATGGAAGTTACAATTTCTATATACTTCCCGCAAATTATATAACAGCCTGTCTTTAAAAGGAAAAAATCCCAGGCTAGTGAAGGACGTCGCGCGCGGTCATCCTGTCCAAGAAAGGATGACCGAAGAGATCTTCATAACTATTGTCCCATATGTTTGTTAAGTGTACTCTATAAGCTCGTCGCGAAGATTGTCCTGATGCGCATATCAAGAAGGTTGGATGAGGAGCAAGCAGTTGGGCAAGCAGGATCTCGACAAGGATTTTGCTGCGTGGACCACATTCAAACTGTGTCCTGAGCCACTGAAGTTTGTCGCGAATACCACTTGCCTCTAGTCCTAACCTTTGTCCACTATGAAAAGGCGTTTGACAGTGTCGAAACGAATGCTATCTTATAAGCGCTCGTCGACCAAGAAGTGGACCCATCCTACATAAGAACTCTGTCCGATTGTTATCGGAACCGCACTACGAAAACAGCTTTTTCATCTACCACCTACATACCAATGGGAAAAGGGATTCGAGAAGTCGATATTGTCAAAGTTCCTTAGTGCCACATTGCGATGGTTAATGAAGTGGCTCGACCAGGATTAGAAAGGCACACGCATTGGTGGAAAATCCTTATCAAACCATCGTTTTTCCTACCACATTGTCAACTTCTCAAGATGTTTCAACGAAGTACAGGAGACGATCAATGAGCTCAACGAAGCTGGAAAAAATATCGGACCATCTATAAATGGAAGGAGGACACAGTTTATGAAAAACTCATGGTGCCAAAGCGAACAAATGGAATTGGATAGTTCTTGATTGCAGAAATCACCTTGTGCGTATATCTTCGGTGGTCAATGAACATGGAAAACAGAAAGAAGGAGGAGTTAGACAAAAAAAGAGCAGCTTGAGCCTCACTCGGGCTTCTCAGAGAAGCCTCCGACAGACAAAGTGACCAAAAAATCAGCTCTCACTTTTTCGATTCGGTTTAGACTTTTTGAAGTACCCAACTTTATTACGCTGGAGAGGGCTGATACGTTAGCCACGTCAAGAATACTCCGCACTACTCGCATTGGCGCTTGTGGCACAGTGATCGAAAGCGCCCTGCACATGAAACCGATTCCCGCGCCCATGGCCCACTAAGCCATCCATCCGTACAGGGTCGGATAATTGGTGCCAGACTTGTCTGGAAGGTTAGCTGCACAGACTTGATGCATCGGTAGGCCACTGCGAGTCATTGTGAGGGCCACGCATGCACCCAGTCACCTCCAAACGATGCTTAGTGAAGTCCAATGTATGGTGCATCCCTAAAGGATAGATCAACACTGAGAATTTCATCATTTTTTTACCCGCAACTGCTCTTATTTTACAAATCACGGTATGAGATTTGCAGTTGTCACTAGGCTTGAATAAAACCACCACCGTAGACGATGATCGCGAGGGAAGAAACGAATGATGTTTCTATTTGATGTTTCTTGTTTGGCCTGATAGCGGAGTCCATCTTGAAGCTTATAAAGGCTGCATGCTACCATACGAAGGGTCGTTTGAGGAATGGGCTGTGATGATAGAGATAAAAATTAAGAGGTGGCGACACTGCCACCATCTGCTTTCTCTGAAACGTTTTTTAGACAGCAGGACCCTGACGACGGAGTTGACATAAAATTCCGCTTGTTTTCGGACGGCGTTCTCAAGACCCTTAATCTCTACCGCGATAGAAAGTTTATCTCTAACCTCACAGCCGCACAAAAATGTGACATGCGTGAAATTAGAGAATTAATAAACTCGAAAACAATAATATTGTCTGTTAGTGATAAGGGAGGAGAGTTCGTAGTTATCCCTCGCCATCTGGATGTTGAGATAACAGAGGAACATCTTAGTGATGCTACTCTCTATCGCCCATCCTCTGAAAAGGAATATAAAAATCAATACCGAAAGCTGAACAATCAATGGGTCAGCGTGGCAAAGGCTGCGGGTTTAAAATCATCGGTTATTTCGCACTTTAAAATCGATAAACCAGCATGTCCCGTCCTATAACTGCTTATTAAAACACATAAGTTGGTATCACCTGATGATCATGCGTCAACCAATCCGTCATCATTTAAGGTTAGACCGATCATCAGCTGTGTAGACGGGTCAACGGATAGAATAACCTGGTTTTAAGCGTGATACTTACCCAGTTGCTTAACCACATTCCAGCTCACCTCACAAACACCCAAATGTTCCTAGAACGTCTACGTAACGCGTCTCCTAATAACGCTTGCGTGATGGAGTCTTTCGACGTTACCGCACTGCACACCAACGTGTCGAATGACTCCGCAATGCAAGCCATCTTCGAACTTCTGTTGAACATGAAGGAAGAATAAATATGCATGGCTTGTCCATCCAGCAGCTAATGGCTCTCTTAAAGGAGTGCCTAAACTGTTCGATTTTCAGATGGTCTGGGAAATATTTCGCGCAAATAAGTGGGTTGGCAATGGGACAGCGATTGGCACCGAGTCTTGCCATTGCGTTTATGTCTAAGACAGAAGCCCTTGTTCTCGATCTTCGGCCATTACTCTACTGCAGATATGTAGATAGTTGTTTTGTCGTCTGCTCTACACAGGAGGAGATGGACAAATGCTTTGAATTATTGAACGAGCAGTCTGAGAACATAAAGTTTACCCGGGAGAAACCGAGAAAAAAACTGGCTTCCGTTTTTAAACGTCCAAATAAACCTATCAAGTAGCAAATACTTGACAAAGTGGTATCGAAAGCCAAGTAACAAGAACAACCTCGTTCATTTCCTTTCCTCCCACCCTTCACACACAAAGAGGACGATTGTGAGAAAGATGTTTCGAACATCCACCTTTGTGTGCACTACCAGGGAACTAAAGGAAGAATCGCGCGACTTGGCTCGGCAAATAGCCATCTCCAATGGCTACGAAATAGTAACCCCAAAAGTAAGTTTAGTAGGAGAGCGACTCGCCCACGCGATGGCGAACGAAAACTAAGACAAAGTACTCCACTAGACACGCATAGGATACAAAGGCATAACGGAGACGACTTTGAAGTAAAAGTCAATATCTTTGCACAGG